GCGAACAACCAGATTATTGGCAGTCTTGCAATAACTAGGATACCATTGGTTCGAAGAAGACGGATCAAACGAATACTCACACATCGCATAGTCGAACTGCCACGAGCAAAATACCAATGCGAGGAACACGAATAGTATTGGGAATAAGAATATATTGCACGTATAGTATGATTCCGAATCCGAAGGAGGATAATTGAGGAGGGAAGAGGGAGAAGGGAGGAGAGACGAGGGAGGGGGCTTGGAGGAGCACGATGCTGACGCGATTGGTATATCTCCGACGGCCCTGGGGGGGCTTTCGCCACGATTGGACTGACTTCGAACTCCTGACCAGAACGCGGCTCAGGAGAGAGGCGGGTGGAAAGGAAGAGGAGGAGGAGGAGGAGGAGGAGGAGGAGGAGGAGGAGGAGGAGGAGGAGGAGGAGGAGGAGGAGGAGGAGGTGGAGGAGGAGGATGAAGAGGTCGCTCTGCTCTGTCACCCGCGGGGGCGCGAAGAAGGTCGCGCTCCGTGCGCCGCGGTCCGGGGCCCGAGCGGCGCCTCTCCCCAGGGGGGGCTCGGCGCGAGGGGGCGCGAGAGAGGACCGCGCGAGGAGCTTGGACGGCTCCGCGGCTCGCCCGAAGGGCGGCCGCCTGGAGCCCGGGCTAGTGATGGCCAAGAGGGCCCACCGAGGAGGGGCGGAGGAGGAGGATCGAGGAGGAGGAGGAGGAGGAGGAGGAGGAGGAGGAGGAGGATCGAGGAGGAGGAGGATCGAGGAGGAGGATCGAGGAGGAGGAGGAGGAGGAGGAGGAGGAGGAGGAGGAGGAGGATCGAGGAGGTGACGGCGATATAGGCAACGGCGATGTGGGTTGCGGTGTTGTGGGAACGGGTTGTTCGGGCTTTCCTGCAATTCGCCGTGTCGTTTTCGTTCGATGCATTCGCACATGGGAGATGCAGGAAAGTGTGGCTCGCGATTTCCTACCGCCTGCTTCCCAACATCACCGGTGACCAACCTCGCCGTTTGCGTGGCCTTCGGTGGAGGAGGGGCAGGCGGGCGATATGATCTTGATATCCTGGCGTTGCATTTTTTTTCGAGCCGGGCGGTTCCGCCTTTTTTCGGGCCCCCGGACCCTCACAGAGCGATCTTACACGAAAGGGTGAAGCAGAAAGGTGGCCCAGAGGGCTGCAACGGCTCGCAACGTGGCTCCCCAGAGGTCCTGCGCCTCTTCCCAGGGGCCAGCTTCTCATTCTGAGTCGTTTTGGGATCGTCCTGGGGGCTTGGCAAGGCGCCCCAGAGGTCGAAAATGGCAACACGAGCTCCCGTCGTGAATTCTTCACGACGCGAGGAAGCCAGGGATTGACGCTGTCCCACGCAGACAGGCTTCCTCATCATAATATTGATATTAATAATAGTACAAAGTATAAGTATTCGCAGTAGTACTATTCTTGATAGAAGTATTCGTTATGGATTTGTATGTTCATCCAGTTTTCGTATATTCGTATGCTTATGATTATTAGCCTTATGAATATCATGTCATGGTCACTGTTCTTATCACTACTCGAACTATGATCAATACTAGTCATAATGATACTACCATAGTAGTCATAGTATTACTACTGCTAGTCATAGTATGACTGATATCATTATCATTACTAATATCATTATAGTTGTAGTGCTACGGTTCTTAGTAGTGTTATTGTTACCAGTGTTCGTATTACTATTATTCATACTGTTGCTACGCTTGTTACTACTACAGTATTTCTACCAAAAATAACATGAATTATCCGTAAGGGCTTCGCCCCCTGCCGCTGGCCCCCTCTCTCGGAGAATGGGCACTGCAAGAGCGAATTCATGAGGCCTTGGCGCCGCCGTTAAGCAGCCTCGGGACTTCACGCGAAGACGATGAGTAATCGGCTAGACAAACTGAGATCCCGATGATATTGTTGAATTCGGCATTGCATTTGGAGTTTGCTCGTGTATGCTGTGCAAAAAGCTTTTTCTACGAAGTATTGAAATGTTGCAGATCCCATGTGTTTTTTGACCCTGACCCCACCGATCTGCGTGAGGGGTGCCACCGAATTCCACGACACGTGGCAAATCCCATATGTGTTTTTCGGCCCTGACCCCGCCGATCTGCATGAGGAGTGCCACCGAATTTAAGAAATGTGGCAAAGACCTTGTGTTTTGGGACCCTGACCCCGCCGATCTCCGTGAGGGAGGCTGAATTTCAAGACATGTGGCAAAACCCACGTGAATTTCGACCCTGACTCCGGCGATCTGCGTGAGGGGTGCCGCCGAATTTCAGAAATGTGGCACATCCCAGTGTTTTTTCGACCCTGACGCTGGCGATCTGCGTGGGGGGTGCCACCGAATTTTAGAAATGTGGCAAATCCCATTAGTTTGTTTGACCCTGACCCCACCGATCTGCGTGAGGGGTGCCGCCGAATTTTAGAAATGTGGCAAATCCAAGTCCCAACCATCCTGTGGTGTTGGGTCCTCGTTTTGAAGAGACGGTGCCCCGCGTCTCCTCTCCTTCCTCCTCCTCCCCCTCCTCCCTCCTCCCCCTCCGCGTCAGCCACACCCACTTCGGCACACCCCTCACACGTTTCGTGGCCCCATAGGGAGCTCCACCGAGGGCCCCAGTGGCTGCGTTCGCATGGCGGCACCGCGCTCATTTCGGCACACCCCTCACACGTTTCGTGTCCCCATAGGGAGCTCAGCCGAAGGCCCCAATGGCTGCGTTCGCATGGCGGCACCGCACCCATTTCGGCACACCCCTCACACGCTTCGTGGCCCCATAGGGAGCTCCACCGAAGGCCCCAATGGCATGCGGCACACCCCTCACACGTTTCGTGGCCCCATAGGGAGCTCCACCGAGGGCCCCAGTGGCTGCGTTCGCATGGCGGCACCGCACCCATTTCGGCACACCCCTCACACGTTTCGTGTCCCCATAGGGAGCTCAGCCGAAGGCCCCAGTGGCTGCGTTCGCATGGCGGCACCGCACCCATTTCGGCACCCCTCACACGTTTCGTGGCCCCATAGGGAGCCCCACCGAAGGCTCCAGTGGCTGCGTTCGCATGGCGGCACCGCGCCCATTTCGGTACACCCCTCACACGTTTCGTGGCCCCATAGGGAACTCCACCGAGGGCCCCAGTGGCTGCCTTCGCATGGCGGCACCGCACCCATTTCGGCACACCCCTCACACGTTTCGTGGCCCCAGAGGGAGCTCCACCGAGGGCCCCCGTGGCTGCGTTCGCATGGCGGCACCGCGCCCATTTCGGCACACCCCTCACACGCTTCGTGGCCCCATAGGGAGCTCCGCCGAGGGCTCCAGTGGCTGCGTTCGTATGGCGGCACCGCGCCCAGTTCGGCACACCCCTCACACGTTTCGTGGCCCCATTTCCGTGGCCCCATAGGGAGCTCCACCAAGGACTCCAGTGGCTGCGTTCGCATGGCGGCACCGCGCTCGTTTCGGCACACCCCTCACACGTTTCGTGGCCCCATAGGGAGCTCCACCGAAGGCCCCAGTGGCTGCGTTCGCATGGCGGCGCACCCATTTCGGCACACCCCTCACACGTTTCGTGGCCCCATAGGGAGCTCCACCGAAGGCCCCAGTGGCTGCGTTCGCATGGCTCCCCACCACCCATTTCGGCACACCCCTCACACGTTTCGTGGCCCCGTGGCCCCATAGCGTTTCGTCGGCACACCCAGCCGAGGGCTCCAGTGGCTGCGTTCGCATGGCGGCAACGCGCCCACCCCTCACACGTCTCGTGGCCCCATAGGGACCTCCACCGAGGGCCCCAGTGGCTGCGTTCGCACGGCGGCACCGCACCCATTTCGGCACACCCCTCACACGTTTCGTGTCCCCTGATGGAGCTCCACCGAGGGCCCCCGTGGCTGCGTTCGCATGGCGGCACCGCACCCATTTCGGCACATAGGGAGCTCCACCGAGTGCCCCAGTGGCTGCGTTCGCATTGCGGCACCGCACATTTCTGCACACCCCTCACACGTTTCGTGGCCCCATAGGGAGCTCCACCGAGGGCTCCAATGGCTGCGTTCGCATGGCGGCACCGCGCCCATTTCGGCACACCCCTCACACGTTTCGTGGCCCCATAGGGAGCTCCACCGAGTGCCCCAGTGGCTGCGTTCGCATGGCGGCACCGCGTCCATTTCGGGACACCCCTCACACGCTTCGTGGCCCCATAGGGAGCTCCACCGAGTGCCCCAGTGGCTGCGTTCGCATGGCGGCACCGCACCAATTTCGGCACACCCCTCACACGTTTCGTGGCCCCGTAGGGAGCTCCACCGAGGGCCCCAGTGGCTGCGTTCGCATGGCGGCACCGCACCCATTTCGGCACACCTCTCACACGTTTCGTGGCCCCTTAGGGAGTTCCCTCTCATTCGTTCAACCTGCTTTGCGGTACTCGTAACTGCATATGGTTGGGTCCATCGCCAGGATAATTTTTTGTTTGACCTTGACGCTGGCGATCTGCGTGAGGGGTGCCACCGAATTCTAGAAATGTAGCACGTCCCATTGGTTTTGGATTCTGACGCTGCCAATCTGCGTGAGGGGTGCTGCCGAATTTCAGAAATGTGGCACATCCCATTGGTTTTTCGACCCTGACCCCGGCGAGCTGCGTGAGGGGTGCCGCCGAATTTCAGAAATGTGGCAAATCCCATGTGTTTTGGGACCCTGACCCCGCCGATCTGCGTGAAGGGTGTCAATTTCGACCCTACCAGAAATTCTGAGAACCCTCCCAGGCGGTGCTCACCAGGGTGCTTCTCGGCTCCTCCCCCTCGCGCGGTTTACAACAAGGAACAGTAAGCAGCATAAATAAGCAGCATCAAGCAGAACCGTAACAGTGGAAACTGGAAATTGGAACTGGCGCAGGGAACAGCAAACCCTGGTCCTACAGCTTGGTGGCCCCGCAAGGGGGCCGGCGGATAATTGTAAGGATTAGTAGTAGTCTTAGTATTATTGTTGTTGTTATTCCTACTGTTTTGCACCGTTCTCTGACCGCCGAGGTCGTGCCAGCGCACCAGCCGACCGAGGTCGCAAGAGCGGCCGCCTGACGACCATTTCCAACCAAGGGACGCGCTGCGCGCCAGAGGTGGACGAGCCGTGGGTGGCACAGAGCCGGCCCCTGCCATCGACGGCGTCATGGGACGCAGAACTCGCTATGACAGTGTCCCGCTCCTCGGAAAGCGAGGCGTCGGAGTCGCGGAAGTCGCGGAGGTGTATCCAAGGCACCTTGAATCCAGAGTGGACTGGAAGGTTGACGTGGGACCTTTGCGTCCTTCTCCTGGTCACGTGCGACAGTGTGGTTCTGCCCTTTCAGCTTGCCGCGTTCTGTGAGGAATCATCGTTCGACGTCTTCTGGCTTTGGTCCACGACATTCTTCTTCCTGTGCGATCTGGTGATGAACTTCTTCACTGCCTATCCCGCAGGGAAGAGGGACGATCACCTGCAGGAGGGTGAGCTCGTCACGGAGAAGCTCCGCATCATGCTCAATTACCTCCGCGGCTGGTTCTGGATCGACTTCATGAGCACCGTACCGTGGACTGTCATCGCCGACGGCCTGCAGAGCGGTGCGGCTTCGGAAAAGTCCTCTGCAGACAGCGTTCTGAAGCTTGCGAAGGTGGTCAAACTAACGCGGCTTCTTCGGCTCATGAGGATGCTGCGTCTCTGGAAGCTGTCGGTCATTTGGGAGCGCCTCGAGCGCCAGATCGGGTCCATCACCTTCTTGAACGTGGTCAGTATGCTGAAGGTGCTTGGAACATGGACGGCGATCTGCCACTGGGGTGCTTGCATTTGGTGGATGTTCGGCAAGAGGGATAGCCTAGTGACAGCCTTCACGATGCAAGACGACGCCACCGCGATCCACTGGACGGAGCTGGAACGGGTCCACAGCGCGTACGACGAGGTGGGGCAGTGGAGATGGGTGGATAGGCCCGTGGCGGAGCAGTACGTCTTCTGCTTCTACTGGATATTGGGTGTGATGCGCACGATGCCGGCCGAGGTTACCCCCGTCAACCTGACGGAGAGGATGTTTGTTTTGCTCTTCATGTTTTTCGCCGTCGGCGCCTTCGCCGTCAACATTGCCAGGATCACGCAGGCCTGGTTCAGGTTCAGCGCGCGCAAGGACGCGTTCAAGGAGGAGATGGCCTGTGCCCGCATGCACCTCCGGGAGATCAAGTGCGGGCCGGCGCTGCAGCTCCGCGCCGAGTCCTACTTCCACCACCTCTTCCAGAAGAGGAGGATCCACGCCAAGGAGCTGAGCCTGCTGAGCGCCCTGCCCGAGGGGCTGCGGCGCAAGCTGAGCCGGGCCCACATGGTCCACTACCTGAGGCAGGTCCCGGAATTTCAAGACTGGGCCGAGCCGATGTTGGCGCGCGTCTGCGACGCCTCGGACGTCGTGGACTACCTGCCCGGGGACAAGCTCACGCAGAAGGACCAGGACGCCGAGGCCGCGTACGTGCTCACCAGGGGCTTCCTGCAGATCTTCGGGGCGCGGCCCGCCGCAGGGGCGAGGCTGGGGTCGAAGGAGGCGCCCCGCCGCCTGACCGTGGTGGACGAGCACTGCCTCTTTACGAGCAAGGCGGCTGCGACGGTGGCGACGGCGACGGCCAGTAAGGCTTCGGGCCGCACACAGACAGCCCCCCGGTCCCGGCAACAGGCCCCCCCGAGAAGTCTGGAGCGGCCTCAGCACCTCGACCCTGGGGCGCGCAGCGCCCCAGGGGCGCCACCAGAGGCGGCGCCAAGGTGGCGAGACCGACGGCGGCGGCGGCGGCGGCGGCGGCGGCGGCGGCTGCGACCACGACGACGACGACGACGACGACGACGGCGACGACGACGGCGACAACGACGACGGACGACGGGCAACGTCGGGCTCCGGCGCTGCACAGAGCGAGGCGGTGACGTGCAGCGAGACCGTGGTGGCGCTGGAGTGCTCCGAGGTTCTGCGCGTGGACCGCCAGAGATTCCTCGAGCTGATGCAGGAGTCAGGGCACTGCTCGGCCGGAGGGGGAGGATAAAGGGGAGGAGGAGGAGGAGGAGGAGGAGGAGGAGGAGGAGGAGGAGGAGGGAGGAGGAAGAGGAGGAGGAGGAGGAGAGGAGGAGGAGGAGGAGGAAGAGGAGGAGGAGGAGGAGGAGGAGGAGGAAAAAGGAGGAAGAGTAGCGGGAGGCGGAGGAGGAGGAAGACGAGGAGGAGTAGGAGGAGAGGAGGAGGAGGAGGAAATGATGGGCAGGAAGAGGATGGTGCTGGAGACGCTGGTGATGATGGGGAAAAGTGGTAGCATAGGGTCGTCGAGCTCCCTACTCCCTTCCCCCTCCCCCTTTCCCCCTTTCCCTTCCCCCTGCTCCTGCTCCTTATCCTCTTCTTTTTCTTCTTCTTCTTCCTCCACCTCCTCCTCCTCCTTCTCCTTCTCCTCCTTCTCCTCTTTCTCCTCCTCCTCCTCCTCGATCCTCCTCCTCCTCGATCCTCCTCCTCCTCCTCCTCCTCCTCCTCCTTCCATCCTCCTCCTCCTCCTCCGCCGCCTCCTCCCTCACAAGTCACCCCCTCGACCTGCCCTGGATCGCGTTTTGACCAGGATTTCGAAGCGGATCCGTCCGTGGCGTTGAAGGCGCCGCAGAAGGCCCAGGAAGGGCGAAGCAAGCAACGTCCATGACCGTCGTCCACCCAGACCCAGGAATGGGAGCGTCGCTCCGTAGACATGTTCTTATCCCGTGGGATCCTTGGAAAAACCCGCAGAAGCAGCGGGGCAGCTCGGGTCTTAAGAAAGTCAGAGATCGACGACAACTGTGCATGCATCCCTATATGTCTTATGTGTCGTTATATCAAGGCTTCTCACCGTATGTATTTACTGCACCTCCTCTCCCCCTCCTGGCCCCATCGGCCCTTCCAGCCCCAGGAGCTGGAGCGTCGCTTGGCTGGCGACACCGACCCCCTCCTCCCTCCACAACTACACCGTAAGAATACTATATTTCTTTCTCCCGAGAAAGCGTCCGTATGGTTTTTTGCACAGGGTTGGTTCGATCTGGTTTTGTTCGGATGCGATTCTTCCAAACAGAACGTTCCCGGTCCTTCCACATGGTGCCCTCGCTGCAGCGTTGGCCTCATTTTAGAATCGGCGCTTTGATCCCGTAGTTCAGAATTCAGGAGGGGAGAAATCACACAGACATAACTGATCGTCGATGTCCAGGAAAATAGGGGAAAATATGGGAAGTGGGGGGGAAGACAACAATCCAGAACATGCGGGAAAATATTGGTAATCCTGTCATTTGTGTGTATTCCTTTGTGTGTCCCTGGGCCCCTTCAAGAATGGCGCTCTCGCCCCGGCCAGCGCGGACCACTCTTCTGGATCTGCGTGCTGCCTCGTCGTTGTCGCCCCCCTTTTCCCCCGGTCCTCCTGCTCTGTCCGCTCCTTCCGCTGGAGTTCCTCCTCGTCCTCCCTGCTCATCCTCCTCCCCCTGCTGCACAGTCAAGCCAGGAGCTTTGCATCAGTTGTTGTTGTCACGTGCTCCCTCTCAGAGTCCAGCAGCCTCTGATTCGTTTTCCGTTGCAATGCAGAGACAGCAGGGACTCCATGAGTTGGTCTCGGTCTTGGTCTGCTCACCCCCCTGCTCATCCGCCATCTCCTCCACCGTAGCCATTATGGCTCAAGATGCCGAGTTCCCTCGGGAGCGAAGTGGATAGCGCTAGTCCGCGGCTTGCATCCTGTTGTTTTCGGGCCCCTTGTGGGCTTTCTCCCGTGCCTGTCCGCCCAGGCGCGGGACACGTGCTCCTGCCAGTCAGCCCTGGCCGGTTCTATTCCCCACATTCTGTGAGCTCCTGGAAGAGCATCCCTGCCAGGCATCTCTCTGAGCGATGGCGTGGAGGTGGCAAGCGTCGTGGCGTGCTGTTCGGGCTGGTGGTCAGCGTGTCGATGCTCGTGGTGGTGGCCAACCGACGTGGAGGCGGGCCGTCTTCGGTCTGCTCAGCATGCGGCCATTGGGAGTATGACAGTCACGGCCATGTAGTGTGCTCCAAGCGTGGCGGAGCATACGAAGGAGGTCTGTTCGTGCTGCACCCACGGGTCAAGGCGGAGGCGCTCCTGCAGCTCCAGTGGCGGATCTGGTCCAGCAGCTCAACACCCTCGCCGCCCTGCATCCAGCCGTGGCCGCCACCCTGCAGGCAGCCAGTCAAGAAGCGGCTGCGGCTGCCGCCGCCCAGGCTGCGCCGCCGCCAGCACCCGTCAGCGCCAGTGACCTGGACAAGCTGGTGGCGGCGCGGCACACGGAGCTGTCCAGGGAGGTGGAGAGAGCTGCGCGAGCCGAACGGATCGCTCAGACCGACGTTGGGGCCCGCCTCGCCTCGGTCGTCAAGCACCGCGAGGCTCTCCAGCACGCTGAGGCCGCGCACGCGTCGGCTGTGGAGAGCTTGGCCCAGAGTCAGATGGAGACCAAGCAGGAGGCCAAGCAGCTTTTCTCCCTTGACGAGTATCGAGGCGAGAGCCGCCGTGAGGAGCGACGCCTTGTTGAGGAGGTCGCAGCGGCTGCTGCCCAGCGTGCAGCTGCCGATCGTGTCGCCCTTGTCCCGGGCGCCCCTGCTGCTGGTGCTCGCCCTGACGTTCGGCCCCTGCTGCTGGTGGTGGAGAAGGTGGAGGCCCTGCGCGGGTTGTGCCGCAGCCCCCGCCCAATCTTGGCACCATGGGAGAACCTGAGCCTCACGCGTGGTGCCAGCTCCACAACCAGCAGTCCGAGTTCTGAAAGGCCGCCCAGCAGATGCATGCGGCTATTGATCGTGATGATGAAGATATGTCCGATGCTGCCTCTGATATGGGAGCTGAGCGCCTTGAGGAGCTGCAGCAGCTCAAGAAGCGCACGATCGAGCAACCATTGGAGGCGGCGCAGCGTGATCGATTGGAGCAACTACTGCGCGAGCAGGTCAACCAGAAGGCCGCCAAGAGGGCCCGAGTCTCGCGGACGGAAGCCACGGCGACCTTCAACCGCATACTCCAGCAGTTTCAGGCAGGTGGCCATCTCCTTTCTGGATCTGCAGCTGTCGCCCCACCTGTACCTGTCTCTGCTGCTGGTCCACAACGAGGAGCTGTTCCCGAGGCTGCGGATGCGGGAGGAGGCGCGCCACTTTCCTAGCCAGGCAGCGCGGCCCTCGAACCGCCGCGTGAGCCGGGCCGGAGCCTGGATCGGCCGAGCCAGAGCCGGGGCCGGGGCTGGACCAGGGTTGGAACCAGCCACGGCCAGGGCCAGGGCTGGGGCCCGAAACGGGGATCGGAGCCAGGACCGGGGCTTCAGTAGAGTTGCGTTTTTGCAACATTACCAGTTGGATTGCGGTTTCATTGTCTTTTGCCCAGAAGTTGAAACCGATTTGCGATGGGTGCTTTGTCTGCGAGCACAGGCTGTTCAGAGAAGCCTGTAAGTTAGCGAAAAGTAGGTGTAACCCGATGGCGTGGAGGTTCTACCAGCGCGCCCCATGCGTCGTCGGATGCGGGTGCCATGGCAGCCAAGACAAGATCGAACACTACGCGTTTTGCCCTGTTGTCGTGTGATTATGCCGGAGATATATCGGCTCGTCGCAAGTCGAAGTGCGACCCTCGTTGGGGAAGTTCGTAGCCATGGGTTTGGACGAGAACGTGCTCGACGACATAGCCCTTACCCAGAGAGCGATTACCTTATATGCTGTCTACAGGGCCACCAACAATCTTCGCCGTCGGGGCCGGGGAGAGGGCGTTGACGGCCATGATGTGCTACAGCAGTTTGCCAAGGAGGCGGTGCGGGGCCACAGATGGGCCACCGCAGTATTGGATGGGCGCGGAGCGCTCGACCGCGAGGCCTCGGAGCTGCCGGTCGACCCGCGGATTGACCACGAACGGCTCCTAGACACGCTCGCCGACGAGAGCGACATCTAGAGTCTTCTCCGACCACGCCCCGTGTTTGCCGCTGGCTGCGCGCATTTTCCGCCCCGCTCACGTTGCAGTGCTCGTGATAATGATATGTAGGCTAAGTTGTTGGCTTGATGTCCCCCTCCTCCTCTCTTCTCCGGCCGCTGTCGCCCCCCTTCCCCGTCGCTCTCCACTGCGTTGTATGTTGAGTCTTTGCACGCGCGGGGCGAGCCGTTCCGTCCGCAGCCGATTCGAGCGGTTGATTATTCCGCCTCTCTCTCTCTCTCTCTCTCTCCTCTGCGGGCCGAGTCGGTGGGTCCCCGAGGGTAGTTTGAAACACTCCTCTTAGCTAGGCCGTGCTGCGACGGTCGTCAAATCCATTTTCCCTCCCATCCCTTCGCCTCCTCCTCCTCTTCCTCCTCCCCCTCCCTTCTCCTCAGCACGCCGGTGCCACTCAGTTGGTCGAGCTGCCCCATGTGGGTTGCGACCGCTTGGGCCGCGTGTATGTCATCGCCGCTGGGTGCGATTTTTCTTCCGGCGTGCAACTCACGGACTATATGATACGAATCCGGGCATTTTCGTATCAGCCATCCCCTCTCCTCTCTCTTCCTCCCGCCTCCTCCTCCTCCTCCTCCCCTCTTCCGCCTCCGCCTCCTCCTCCTCCCCGGCGCCCCCTGTGGTGCGTTTGGTGTATGGATTTACAGCATCCGGGCAAAAGTGCTCGCTCCCGCCTCGGCGCCGGTAGCAGTTTTGGAACGCTGGGGGGCCCGATGTTGCATGTTTCCCCATCCGAGCGCCCACTCCAAAAACACCAGGTGTCGCTGAAGACCGGTGTTTTTAATCTGTCTGGCCGGCTGGGCCTTTAAGCCGGTGGCTCGTTCCCTCGCCGGTGCTTTTTTACTTCTGGGATGTTGCTGTAAATGAAGTCACTGGTCCGTCTCTGCCGCGTCCTGTCGCGGAGTGCGCGGGTCTCTCGAGCGATGTCGTGGTCGCCTCTCTGTCCGATTCATCCCCTCTGCTTTCCTCCTTCTCCTCCCCCCCCAAAAAAATGTAACCCGATGGCGTGGCGTCCCCACTTTGCCCCTGCCACCCCGTCACCTGGAGGGGGCCTGCATCGTGGGGGTGTCGGGGCTGTAGTGGGTAGGGGGTTTGCGTTCAGACGATTTCCCGTCCTCGGATGCGTCTCTCCTGGGTCTTGGATCTGGGAACCACTTGATTTTTTGTACTCGAAAACCAAGCATGCAGTCCTAGCTGTAGGTGCGTGTTACCTAGACGACGGCCTTGGTGCAAATGGGGTAAACATGGATCGGTTCAGGGAAATATCAGACTTCGTGGACGTTCTGGCTATCCCCCGGATTATGATGGGTGGCTTCAGCATTCCGTTGGTTTTGGTTTGAGTGGATTTCTTGAGCTGACGCATGCCCGTGCCGCGCCGCCTGAACGAGCTGATCCTAGTTGTTCCCAGGGGAGGGGGGCGCTCATAGATTACGTTGTGGCCTCTCAGAGTATTGCTGATTACGTGCGAGCATCGAAGCACGACCCCTTCCCGTTCAAGACCCACGTATGCCTGGCTGTCTTGCTGGCGCGTACAGTGGTTGAGCAGAAGCTATGGCGACGTGAGCGTGTGCCATAGTTTCCCCCGAGTTTGTGAGCAGATATGCCGCGCCGGTTTCCTTGCGCAGGTTGACGAGTACGGCCTCGCACTGCCCGCCTTCCTGTCCGACAGGCTACTGCCGCATGTGCGTGCGCGCACCTCGTCCTTTGGTTCGCTGCAGTACTCGATCTGGAGCAAGGCTGCTGAGATGATGTTCCTCTCGAGGACCTCCGCTATGGCCCATGATCCCCCTGCAGGCTCCAGGGGCGCGCCCCCCGCGTTCAAATTGGGCATTGTCGGACGTCGCGGCGCGCGCGGCGGAAGTTTTAGGTTGCCGTCGCCATGTCTCTGGGCCCACGCACCTCAGAAGCTTTGGGAGTGCAGGTTGTCCTTGGCAAAGCGATCCTGGACCTCGGCGCGCGCCTTGAAGGGTATCCTGGCTGGTCTTGCTCCCCGAGCTGCTGAGCGCCATGTTGCGGGTGATTTCCGCGACCCGGATTGGCGACGGGCTCGCTTGACTAGCTTGCCCCGGAGTCTCGCATCAGGGAGTGGCGGATCGCCTTCCCTCGATGATCTTCCCGGCGCGATCGGCGCCGCCTTGTCTGGGGCGCGGAGCGCCGCGCGCGCAGAGACTAAGGCTGGCGCGAAGCAGCGGCCTATCGAGGCCTTCCGCGAAGGGCCCATAGCGCGCGCTCCTGGCTTGAGTGCGACCGAGGCGCCCACCTCGAGGTCACTGCGGCGCCTGGGGAGGCGCACGAGCTCCCCGAGGGGCAAGTTTTGGAAAGCCACGCAAGATAGGAAGGGGCAGCTTTCTGGTGTTTTAAATGCACTCAGGCCCTCGGCGCTGGACTCCCTGGGAGATTTGGAGCCCCTCGGTCCTGGGGGCGCGCGCGGGGCTGATCGCCTTTTGCGTGAGGACACGGCTGTTGGCGCGGGCCAGTGACCCCCTCGCCTGCTTGTGTCTCTTCCACCTGATGTTGCGCTTGGGTTCACCCACCTTCTCAGGTGGTGCGAGCGTCGACTGATGTGGCCGGTTCATATTATGTTCAGCATCGTAGCGATGTTTCCCAAGTCTGTTGAGATCGAGCGGCCAGTGTGCAAGTGTCCCACGTTGTGTCGAGTCTATCGTAAGGCTAGGGCTTGTTTCATGGAGTATTGGTTTCCTTCTCAGGTGAATCATAGGGACGCGCCCATACGTGGCTCCTGTGCGTTGCAAGCTGTGCTTCACCGAGAGCTGGGACATGAACTGGCTCGGTAGCTTGGGCTTTGTTCTGTCGGTGCTTATTGTGGCCTGAAGAAGTTCTTTGATACTGTTGATCCTCGTCGCCTGGCTGGACTCGCCGCGAAGATGAGATGCCCCCTGCTCCTTTTGCATGCGTGGATTGCGTCGCATGAAGCTCCGCGGGCCCTCGAGGTTCAAGGGATGCGTTTTGACCAGATCCCCGCGGTGATTGGCATGTTGCCCGGCTGTGGCCAATTCATGCCGTGGATCAATATCATCTATTTGTATGACATTATTGACCAGGCCCACGCTTCGTTCCTGCCAGTGCCTATCCAGGGCTACGTAGATAACATTATTCAGACGCAACAGGGCGCCGGCGACGATCTCACATCGAATCTCGTGCCTGCCGCCATCCACTTGCGCCACCAGCTGGAGGCCGCTGGCACGACGATTGCAGGCAAAAGTTTTCTGGTGTGCTCCCACAAGGACCTCGGGGCAGAGATCCTGCAGCGGTTTCAGTGCGTGCGCTTACCCATCTTGTGGAAGGACGCGGTTCGAGACCTGGGGACCTGGGGCCACGTCTTGTGCAGGCGTCCGCCGCACTGTTAGCAAGCTGCGCGCTCGTCGGGCCATTCATTGCCAATGGCAGAAACAAAAAGATCGCTTTCCTCTCGAGGCGCGTTGGCAAGCATATTGTGCAGACCAGGGGCCCTGGCCGCGGGGTCGCGGGGCCATGAAAACCTCGGGATTTCTCCTAGGCGTGTACAGTCCATGCGGCGCCGCCGCGTGCTCTGGGACGTGAGCCCCTGGGGCCTGCACCGCCACCCTCCTTGGCTCGTTGGGGCCTGGAACGGATGACCCCCAGTTCAGGCTTCGCCATGAGCAGTTGAATGGCGCGGCCTGGGCTGAACTCGATCTCATAGGAGTTGCGCAGATGCTTGGAGCAAGATAGGACACAGGATGGATCAGACCAAGCATTGGAAGCAGACGGCCAAGGGACCGATGGCAGCCACTATCGCGGCGATCTGCGACTTAGGCCGGCATGCGGTCTCACCTATATTTTGGCTCAGCGAGGAGGGATTGTCGAGGGCCGATGTTGCTGATTTCCCGTTCCTGCTTTGGGGATCCCTCCTTAAGACGTGTTCTGCTCGGTCCTGGGGCCGAGCGTCAACGCATGTTTGCGGAGCTGTTCTTGCCGAAGGAGTTGGTGCTGTCACTTCGCGTAGATACCTCGCCAAGCTATCGACGGACGGAGAGCATGAATCGGCGGGGGTCTTGCGCAGCGTCATCATTGCTGGAGCCTGGCCAGAGGACCGTTTGTTTCCTGCCGGCGATGTTTCTGCCAGCAACGGTTTGTGCCGTCGTTGCGGGGGAGCCCCTGGGACCCTGCTCCACCGTTTCTGGCAACGTGAATGTAACCGAGATGTTAGTCAAGGTGCGAAAGATAGCTTTGGTGAAGGTGCGAAAGCTAGCTTTTGGTGTGGGCCCCCCCCTCCCTGGTCGACTCCATGGAGCACCTTCCTCCTCCCCTGGGCCTGGCCTGGGATTGGGGGCGATGTGTCGATGGCCTGCCTATCGATCCCTGGGGATGTCTGGGGCATCGATGGGTTTGGAGGGGAACGCTCGACAGACTGGCGCCTTCGCAGGTGTGGCTGGCCCTGTGCGCATCTAGGACCTGGCGGCAGGATTGACGCAGCTCGGTGCGGGACCTTACCGTGTGCCAGGCAGTCTTCACCGAGGGCCGAGCTGTTCGCCCTCATCCAGCTTGTTCGTACTAGCTCCGGAGACGCGCGCGCGCATTGTGATTGCCTGCTCGCGGTGAAAGGATTGGGGAACAGCCTAAAGGCCAAAAGAAGATCCAGCATGCCTGACCTCTGGGCAGAATACCATTGTGGAAGTCGAGTAATGGAAAGGAAGCATGCTGCCAAATAATTTCCAGATGTCAAACATATGTTTCAACCATGTTTTAAATATGTAAAGACATGTTTGAAACATGTTGAGAACATGATTTACACATTATAAAAATTGTTGATTCAATGATAGGATTGTTAGAGTGTCCATTGTCATGGCATCCACAAGAATACCATCGCGTGCTTACCGAGCGCGGGGGGGTCCTCAATCTGATTCAGTCCAAAGCCCACCCCACCCAAGCCCAGACCGAGTTTATGCTTCTCTCGGGCGTGGAAGTCCGCCTCGACCACGCAGCCGACCACCTTGCCGATTGGGCAGCTCGGCGTGGACAGCTCCGTGACGAGGATATTGGCAGGACGTTGCGAGCCGACTCACTATCGATGCAGGTTTTGAACCAGATTTTGACGGCGCAGCGGGAGGCACAGTGGGGGCGCGCATCAGGAAACCATATGCTTTTCGTCAGGGTATCCTGGGTTTCTTCGCTCCTCGGGCTGCGCGGTGACTTCCCGCGGCCGTTGAAGGAGCTGCTGCGTTCAGAGTGCTCCAGGTTTCCCCTCCGGTGCACTTAGCGCGCGGGTTTTCAGGGTTGGGTTTCTTGCGAGGGTTTCCTGCGGCCGCGCTCGCACTGTATTGTTTTCCTCCGAGCGCGAGGGAGGAAGCCTCCGCGAGCCGCGGCGAACTCGCGGAGGTGCCTCCTCTTGCGCCGAGCGCCTGTGCCGTCTGCGTGACGTGGGCCACGGCCCGAGTGCCCGAAGCGCGAGCATTTGTTGCGACTGGTGCGAGTTCAGTTTCGGCCTGCGTGGCCAGCTAGATTTGTGCATTACGATCAATGGAGAGGACGCGTGTTGCCAAGCAATTTCCAGATGTATAGAAAACATGTGGTAAACAGGCTTTAAACATGCACAAACATGTTTAAAACATGTTTAGAACATCTCCGACATTAAACACATTTCAAATTCAATGATAGGACCCTTAGGGTGTCCACTGTCGGGGCATCCGCAAAGTCAGCTGAGTTCTGGCCATCACCCTGCAAGCCCCGCGGCATCATTCAGCAGCGGATTCGGTTGTCGCACCCGCGAGAGAGGAGGAGCGACGGCGATCCGGACCCTGCCCCTGGTGGCTTGGCGGCGTCGGCGTTGTGTGGAGGGCCCCATGGACCATCCGTTGCCTGGTCAGTGTCGCTCCTCCCGCTGTCTTGCGGTCCTTCGAGGAGTCCTGCATTGCACAGTCTGTGCCGGTCACTGTGCTACTGCGCCTCCCCGCATTCTCAAAGGATTGTGCGGAGACCCTGCTCGAGGGCCATGCCCCTCGCGTGCAGGGCGTGATGTGCTGTCTCGTCTGTCTCAGGGATTGCTACCAAAGTCTGGTACTGTCTTCCCCGATCAGGGCTGATGAGTTGATAGAGCGGTCTGCCTAGAGCAGGACCCCGCCTTTGGCAGAATTGGAACTAGAATTAGCCATCTCCTCTTCCACTGTACACAGCTCTCCTGGTCAGATTGCGCGTAGCACGACTGGGTCCTCGTGGCTGCTCCAGGTCCGCTATGGCACCCGTTGGCGGATGGAGACAACTCAGCGCAGTGGGACAGGACGGGAGGGACGGGTAGGATGTCGGACGTGGCGCGAGCGCACCCAGCTTTGGAAGACGATCAACGGAGAGGAAGCATGTTGCCCAATAGTTTCCAGATGTCTAGAACATGTGTTAAACATGTTTTAATCATGTAAAATCATGTTTTAAACATGCGTAGGGCATTTTTCCCGACATTCAAGACACATGTTTAATTCGATGATAGGACTGTTAGGGTGTCCATTGTCGTGGCATCCACAAACCTGGCTTGTCCCTCCTTCCTCCCCCCCTCTTCCTCCCTGCTCCCCTTCGCTCCTCCGTGGCATCGAGAGCGCCCCAGGGCGCCCAGAAAAGAGGCAGGAGGAACGTCCAGGATCCCCGACCTTCGATCCTCGATCCTCGAAGAAGGCATCCTGGGAGCTCCTCCTCCCTCACCCCTTTTCTCCTTCCCCCCCCCTCCCCTCCCCCAACCTCCTCCCTTGTCGCCCCCCATCATCAGTTCCTTCCCCCCCCCCCTCCCCCCCCCCTCCTCTGTCCCTCCCCCCCCCCCTCCTCCCCCTCCTCCCCTCCTCCCTCCCCCTCTCTTCCTCCCTCACTCCCTCCTCCCCCCCCCCTTCCTTCCCCCCCCCCCTCCTGACCCGAGGAGCTGGAACGTCGCTCGGCTGGCGTCCTCGACCCCCTCCCGCCCGAGGTCGCCAGCAGAGCCGCACGCTGTTCGGTGCGATCGACGGTCTCAACTTTGAGCAGGCACGAGGAACCCCAGGGGCAGTGGGGGAGGGGCAGGGGGAGGAGGAGGAGGAGGGGGAGGAGGAGGAGGAGGAGAAGGCGGTGGATGATGATGCTGATGCTGATGCTGATGCTGATGATGATGATGATGATGATGATGATGATGATGATGATGCTGATGATGATGATGTTGTTGATGATGATGAGTATGCTGATGATGATGGTGATGATGATGATGATGATGCGGGTGGTGATGCTGATGACGATGATGAGGATGATGATGGGGAGGAGGAGGGAAACACTGTATAGTAATAACTATGTAAATGCCAATAATAATGGCACTACGAATGGTAAGATAACGCTAAGATTAATGACCATACGAATCGTACTCATTATACTAATACTGAACGTGTTTTAGCAATGCTGACGCTAGTAGTAACAACCATACCCATAGTGATACGACTGAGGTTAATGGCGATGATGTTGATTAGACTAACAAGAACATGCTACTACAATCGTTCTCATAACTGGTTTACTAAAGTTTCTACTAATAAGATGCATGACGAAGTCATTGATAACCTTATCATGCATAGTCATACGAGTAATAGTTACATAAGTACATACGTGCATCCGTATCAACAGCATTATAGAAATGGCATTGCTACTAGTACTAGTAGTAACAAGAATGTGAACACCAGCCATAGTACTACTAGTACTGCTAGTCTTAGTAATGCTGACACGACTAGTAATGACAGTAATCGGTTTTATATGGATGATGAGGACTAATCGTGAGAACCACCGAGAAGGTGGACGAGGATAATGGGGGGGAAGGAGAAGGAGGAGGAGGAGGAGGAGGAGGAGGAGGAGGAGGAGGAGGAGGAGGAGGAGGGGACGAGGAGGAGGAGGGGACGAGGAGGAGAAAGAGAACGAGGAGGAGGAGGACGAGAAGGAGAACGAGGAGGAGGAGGAGGAATGAGGATGATGACGAGGAGGAGGATGAAACGAGAGGGAGGAGGAGGATGGAACGGGGGGGAGGAAGAGGAGGAGGAGAAGGAACTGAAGGAGGAGGAGGGTAATACTACACCGATGAATGATATTCAGGATGCCAGTGAGAATGACAGTGCGAATAAGTTAATGATCGTATTAATGATGCGATAAGTTCTCATACTAATAATGAGCATAAGGACGATGAGGAGGAGGACAAATATCAGGATAGGAGTAGGATCAGGTGAAAGAGGAGGAGGAGGAACAGGAGAAGGAACCGGAGAAGGAGAAGGAGGAGCAGGGGGGGGAGGAGGAGGAGGAGGAGGAGGAGGAGGAGGAGGAGGAGGAGGAGGAGGAGGAGGAGGAGCAGCGACGCGCCGCAACCGCCTCTGCGATAGTGGCCGCGCTAGCTATCACGGTGGGTTCTCTAGAGCGCGCCTGGCATCTCAGAGCACGTCATCTTCGGTCTCACGCGCGCACCTTCGTGCAAGTCCATCAGGCATATCAGAGACTGCAGTTGCATCACCCATCGCAGCGAACAGTTGGAGGAGAAGGCATGCGAGGACGGCATATTCCGACATGGGATGGTTCATCATTTGGGAGGTACGTTCGTGGGCATCAGCAGTGTTGGTGCGGCCACAGGTACAACAACTACCCTCTGGCCAGACAGGGCCTCAGACCAGGTCCCAAGATAATGTCTCGTCCTGCCAACAAATCCAGAGTGCCAGAGTCTTCGGAAAGAGAGATTCGCACATACTTGTCGAGGGTTGCTCTTCTGACGAGGGAAGAAGCTCAGCGGAGGCATGGCTTCATACTGTCCGTCGTCGGCACCGATCTACACAAGTACAGGCTCGCATGTCGCCAGCAGTTGACAGATCCAGCCATTTTGGCGTTGTCTGAGGGTGAAGAAAGACAATGTCGCATGTCTCAACGACAAGAAGATATCTGTACACAAGTGTATGGTGCAGACCACACAGCCGTTGCACAAGCAGAGAGACGAGTACATCGACAAGCTCGAGAAAAACTATTCACAGGCTCGAGGCCGCACAGGGCAAGATACAATAGCTCGAGGCCATGGAGACAGAGAGAGCCAACGACATCGCCCAGCTCAAGGTATGCATCCAAGAGGTAGCAGGAGTGATGGAGGAGTACGTGGTCATGGCCCAAGCTTCCGCCGCCCAGCAGCAGCAGGATCAGCAAGGACAGCGCTTGCAACCTTTGCATGGGCAACATGTGCAGCATGGGCATGCAGCTGCACCAGCAGCTGGACCACCCAGGCCTCCTCCGCCCGCGCCGCCGCGACTTATGCCTCCGCGTTCTCAGCCTCAGCCTCAGCCATGCCGCGTCGAGCAGTATGGGCAGCAAACCAGCTAGCAGAGTTGAGAGCGGGCGTCGTAAGCATGGCGAATCGGCAAAGCGAGACGGACAGGGTTCTTGGAATGATGATGGGCGCGATGCAGCAGCAGCAGCAGCAGCAGCAGCAGCAGCAGCTGACGCAGCGGCAGCAGTACCCACAGGCCCCCACGGCAGAGCAGGCCGACGCTGCGCAGCAATGGGCAGCGCAAGCGGCGGCAACTGGCGCAGCCTGCGGACCAGGACGAGCACCAGTACCACTTGCGCACTCTTGTGCGAGCACAACTCTCTTCGTCCAACCCCCACCGATTTCCTGGTAGCGGGGCCCGACCCCCACCGATAACCTGATCAAGGCAAGTGGGCACGGCGAAAAAAACAAACAAACCCACATAGAAACAGATGATGGAATTCGCGCCTGGCCCCGGTTATTTCTGGGATGGCCCCCTGCTCCTATGAGTGAATGCGTTGCCGCCTGCCGCGGGGTCGCTGGGGCAGCGGCTGCGGAGGAGCCGGTGCCGACCGCGACGATCGGGCGGGCCCCTGTTGCAGGATGTCCCGCGCCAGAGCCGGCTAGGGAGGTGACATCCGCAGAGTTGGCGAGGGAGTTATTCGGAGTTTCGCCGACGGGGCCCTCCTCACCGATGCCGCCGCACCCAGCGCCGCAAGCATTGCGTCCTCATGAACAGAGCCAGGAGGAGCAGACTGCGGGCCCCGCGCTCAGCGTCACTGGACACAGCTCGATCGACATCGACGTAGACGACATGACCTCGCAGGATATCAGAGTGGAGATTGCAGAGATCGAGGCATCCCATGCAGGGGCGCCGACCTCGGCTTCGTCAGGATCGGGGGGCGCACTGATGAGGTCGCCACTCCCAAGCTGCCCAGACTCGAGCAGCCAACAGATTCACATGCATGTGGGCGCTAATTTTAGGAGTGGCGAATGACAGCGGGGACTGCGCGCGCGGCCACGCGTTGCTTTCAAATGGATCTTTTGTACAACATCAAGAGGCGCACCGGCCACTGCGATAGCTTGGTTGGGGACAGGTGCACACCAGGGAGTGCGTGGTCGGAGATGAGCCGCCATTGCTCCTTACTCATCTACGCTGTTTGTCTTTTCCGACAGCACGTGGGGGCTCAAACGCGCCGGCTGCAAAGGGAGCCCCCCTTTGCGAAATGTTTCCTTTTTTGGCTCCCGAGGTTCCTCCGAGGGCGCCCGTTGCTCATGGGTCGCGTCTAAATCTGACAGGGCATTGTCGCGCGCGAGTGTGGGCGCAGCCTTGGGAACTACAGTTGGACAAGCGCGCTGGAATGCAGCGCGCCGCCTTTTGCCCGGGCATCTGCGTTTCAGAGAACGGAAAGGTACGCGCGTTCTCAATGCCCCCTCTCCCCCCCAGCGCACAGGGGGGGGCGTCGCGTTCGGACTTTGAGCGACCTGGTCGCGGCTCGCACCACGTCGCCGACAACGCATCGGCAATCGTGGCTCCTGGGCGCCCGCGCGACAGCAGAGATGCGCGAATGCGCCCGTCCATCGCCCTGCCGCGCATGTCGGTTGACAGTCAGCCGACAATTCGCGAGGCGCGGAAGGGGCTCCAGAATGCAGGGGAGAGGACGAAGCAACCCCAAATTGGCGATGCAACACCGCGCGCGCACTCCCCTCTCTCCTCGAGACTTATTGAGCAGAGACTGAAGGGTCCAGTCAGCAAGGGGAAGCTGGCTCTCTCCACGCCAGCCGATGCCGCGATCCGCGCGCTTGCGTTTGCCTGGCCCCGCCCCCCCCCCCCCCCCCTCCCCTGGGCCTCCTGCGTGGGCGTTGACTCCCCGGGGCCCCCGATGCGCGGGCCCTGGGGCGCTGTCCTCGGCGGGGGGCCGTTGGCCCCAGGGCCCTTTTCTACTGCGCTGACGGTTCTCATTCGGCCAGCGCGGGGGGCGCTGAAGACGACTATCTGGCGGCGTGGGCTGCTGTTGGGGTCGCCGAGGATAGCGAGGATAACCGCGTCTTCCGAGGTCGCTGGGCCGGCGCGTAGGCCGACGCGCGCAGCGCCGACCATCATAGGGCAAGGCTCGACAGCGCAGATGTGGAGCGTCTAGGCATGACGTGGGCTTGCATTGCCACGCTTGGAGACAGAGCGAGACCTACCCGATGGCGTCAACGTCCAGATTTGGTCTGACTCGCTCTCTTCCACCCAGCCCATCTGAAGACAGGCCACCCCTGCGCCTGACGACAAACTTGCCCGACTAGCGGCCATTGTTTTTGAGGTCGCAGCTGCCCGTTGCCAGCCGAGCGCACATCGCGTCGATGCGCGCGACGAGCACTGCTGGAACGCGCCGGCTGATAACGCGGCGAAGGCGCAAGTCAAAAGGGGCATCTTCACCCGACCCCTTGTCCGAAGACTTGATCAGCATCGCGAAGCGCAGCGCAGCCCGCCAGCGGGCGCGGCTAGGAGAGCAGAAATTACGCGATCACCTTGCCATCCAGAGCCCGGGCACAATCGGCTTTCCTTTGATCTCGCGCCGCAGCTCGCCTCTACGTTTGATGGTGCGAAACCGGAGGTCAGAGTGGGCTGCGAAATTGATTTCTCGCTTCCCCCCGCGCAGTTCAACGCCAGGTCCCTTTGCGCCGCGCGCCGAGAGGAAAATGAAGACCTTGTGTTTTAATCGGCAAGACCTCAGCGTGCCGCGCGCGGACTCTGGGCGACCGATAG